GACAAGGTTGTCAAGTCATGTCCAACTGTAGGGGGCGGTGCTCATCTCAATTACTAAGCCGAAGAGCCATCATTGTCACAGACTACTCTGTGATCATGTGGCCAGCATGACTGCACTGAATGCTGTTACCTTCCCACCAAAGTGGTACCTATTTATCTACTTGCATTTGCATGCTTTCAAACTGCTAGGTTGGCAGAAGCTGGGACTAGTGACAGGAGCTCACCCCATCATGCAACACCCAGGCTTCAAACTACCAACCTGCTGATCTTGCAATCAACAGAATTAGTGTCTTAACCACTTGAGCCAGTGCATCTATATGAGAACTGTGCTGTATTTCCAGTCTCAGATCAAAGATGACAGCAGGATTCCACATTGTATCTCACTCATATTCACAATGGGAATGCATCTGGAGTGTTTTTGGAATATCACTACTGTTTTCAGTTTGAGATCCAAGATTTCTGATCCTTTCCAACAGGAAATATAAACAAGGTGAAAGGAAATCCAATTGAGCTTGTGAAAATCCTGCTGCTAACTTCAATCTGAGATCTGAAATAACAGTCAGATTCAAGACCCCATAAACACACTCAAGTTTCCAATGAAGCACAAGAGGGGCAAGAGAGAGGCATGATACTCCTTTTTTATATATAGAGGGAGGGAAATTCCCTGGCTGGGAAGAGAGGGGCTTGATGACATCAGCAGGGGATACTTGGTCAGGGTCCCAGCCTTGATGTCACCCAGACCACCATTGAGGCCCAGGGACATTCTAGCCCTTAAGGCCAATATACCTCCTTATCCCACAGCTAAAGCAAGTTCTTGTGCCCTGATCCAAAAATAGTTTCCAGCTCAGGGCTGCCTATTTTCTTACAACAACAAGGGCCATAATAATTCACTTCTCCCATTTGATAACAATTCACTTCTCCCATTCTTCAATCATATCAATTAGTTACACAGCAAATGTGAGGTAGTGGATATAGTGCTGAGCTTGGACAAGAGAGACTTGAGTTGCAGTCCCCAGTCAGTCATGAAATTCATTTGATGGCCTTGGGTCAGACATGCTTTCAGACCAAACCACCTCACAAGTTTGAAGCAAAAATGAAATGAACAAGTTGTCCCCTGAATTTAGTTGGGAGAAGATCCAGACACCAGTGTGGCAAATGAAATAACATAAAACCACTCTATGTGTTTGCAAAATACCCAAGGAAGAAGGAATTACAGCAGCATCTCTTCCAGCACCTACAATAAAACAAAAGATCCAGAGAAAAACAAAACCCAGTACAGAACAGAATAGGCATCACTCCTCCTTATCACAGCTTCTAATCCCTTCCAAGAATTTCTCAACCCTTTTATGGGATATAACATTTCTATCCCATGGCAACAGCTACCCATCCCACCCACTGATTTTCCTAATAGCTCCCCTGAGCCACTCTCCTTTGTTTCATTTTTTGTTTGGTCAGTATGGGGCTAATTATGTGTTATGCTCTAACTTACACATATAAAGTACCCCCATTCCCTTTGGTTTTGTTGTTTTAAAATCAAAATCAGAGGTGAACCTACAGTGAAGAAAATGGCAAGGAAGGCATTTCCCCCTTTATGCTTATTATGCTTATTCCTATGTATGTTTCCATGGACGCCTGAAAGAGGTAAGATAAACTTTTGGGACAGTAACTACTTTTGTATTTCTGCCAGAAACTGGAGTGCTCCCCATAACAGCTATTGGATCTCTTTATTCTGTCCAAAGGGAAGGACAGAATTGTCACTCACTATTTTTCATCTGGGGCCAAAGCAGAGAGAAATGGCAGGGACTTATTCCCTACTCAAGCAATAGTGTGAACAGCACAGAGACAGTTTTACTCCCATCGCAGAAGCAAACTATCGCAGATTGAAAAGACAGGTGTGAACATGGTCATTAATAATATTTCAAAAGCATTTCATACTTGTCATTCATGTTTAATGCATGTTACTCAGAAGAACAGGAAAACATAAAACAAAATATACTTGTGTTTCTGCGTTCAAACTGCCTGACAACTTATGGCGAGGAACGATCATTTTCCTCATGGAAACGCAATGTACCTTTCATTATGTTGGACAGTGATAGGAATTTCTGGCCCCAGTAACAGACCCAGGGGCATCACTGGGTATGTGGGCCACACTATGTGACAATCTAAGGGGTGTGTGTGTGTGTGACACTACTGCTTATCAAACATCTGCCTTTTGGCAGAAATGGTCTGTGGTGTTCACCTGTTCACACAACACTGAAGAGATGATGTGAGTGGGGTAAGGTTCAATGTTAGAAGAAAGGAGAGGCCCCAGGGTTTTTTAAAAAATAAATTTTAAAATTACATTTTTAAAAAAGTTTTTACAATTTAATTTTTTTAAATTCTTTTTAAAATTTTCTTTCAAAACATCACATCTTACCAAATGTTCACTTTAACTACCAATTTTTCACTTTAACTACATGAAACGATGTACATGTAAATATATTTATGGAATGGCATGCCGGATGGAATCCATCATATTACCACCTTAGACAGCTTTAAAAAGGCTGTTAAGATGGATCTCTTCCGTCAGGCCTTTCCCAAATAGATATCCCAGCCATCAAAAGACAGCCATCCTGCTCATCCCTGATTCGGCTGTAGCTATTGTTATTGTTTATTTGTGTTATTATTTTAAATGTGTTTTAAGCTTTCATTATTTAATTTTGAGG